TACTCCCTCACCTTCACGAACCACCGCGGCTGCCACGTCTCGCCACGCTCCTCCATCTCCTTCCTCTTCACCCTCTGCTTCTCCTCCAACTCGCGCTTCTTCTCCTCCGCCTCGTCGACCCGCCCTTCCTCCACCATGCGCTGGTCCGGGCGCAGCCGGCTGTCCGTCGCTGGCAGTTTGCCCTGCTCGAGCGTCGTGATCTCGTTCAGCTGCGCGGCAAACACAGTGTACCCGTAGCGCACCGTCGGCTGGTCCACCAGCGGGCCCGCGCACCAGATCTTGCGCACAAGCGTGCTCGACTCGTCCGTGTACATGCACAAGTCGGAGGTCCACTTGCCCAGGACCGTGTACGGGAACTGGTTCCCGTCGCGGTCGTACGCGATGATATCAACCTCCTCGCTGCGCCCAGAGAACATTCCCTTGACTTTGAACGTCACCACGGCCTTCTCGCCCGTCCGCTCGCAGTGCACAGTCATGGTGCCCACGGGCTCAACGTACTTTTCTCCCGCGATGATGTTACGCAGGAAGGAGGTCGCAATCATATACGAATACAGCTCTTGTCCTTCCTTCGTGTTCAGCAAGATCCTTACGCGCCCGCTCGTGTTCAACTCCGCAGACTTGCCCCAGAACTTTTGCGTGGGCATCGGACTCTGCGAAAAACTCCACCTCTCCGCATCCGCGTGGCATGCCATGATGACCGGCCTATGGCTGACCTTCTCCGCCAGGAACCTCCACCCTTTATCCTCCCTCACAAGCTCATATGTCTCCCCCAGCATCGGATTAAATGGCTTCCTGATTGCCCTTTCCTTCATCCGCGCGTTAGAAAACCCGCTCACCGCAAACGCAGCAATGTGGAGAATCCGCTCTCCATTCTCCCTCGGCAGGGACGCTGCGGCGTCAAGGAGCTCCGAATACTCCAGTTGCTCTGCCAGACGTTGGACAAGCGACGTCGGCTCGTTCGCCGACACTGGCATTGCGATAGTCGATAAGTCCTTTCCGACATTCTTTCTCAAAAATCCAATTAAACTCGGGGGTGTCACAGTCGACGCCAACACTGTCGTTCGTCTCTTTACTGGTTCTGCCAACGGCAACGGCCAGAGGTCCTTCGGGCCCTGCGATACTTGCACCTGCGTGTCCACAGCCTGGAATTTCCCTCTTCCATCCGCAGCACCTTTTCCATGTAAACTCTCATCTTCGTCACTATCTCCGCTGTCGTCGTCTGACAGCTCCCCACTGGTACCCACCTCCTTCCCAGCATCCTTTTCGTCACTTTCCCCTTCACCCTCACCATCATCACTGTCATTCAGTACCCCGACCCTCCCACCTTCTCCTTCATCCGCATCAAAAAACTCCTCTGAAGCCGTACTTTCAAAGCTCGCTCGGCTGGCCACAACCGGTGTCGACACAAACTCACTTTTCCTATGCAACCACCTTCTGTGCTTGTTCTCCGCAATCAGCGTAGAGAAATCTGACACCACTGAATCCAAGTCTGTGAGCAAGGCCTTCAAATTTGCCGATATGTCGTCGTGCCCGATATTAGTTGTCGGTAATGCAGGCCCCGCCCCTGTTGCAACCGCATTCATTGCTGGTGCAACAACCAACGAGGCAAGCCCTTTCGCAGTCCCTGGAGGCTGCCCATGCCCAGCACTCCCCGGATGCAGCGTTGCAGCTGGCGACCCCGGTGCCTGACTCCCGCCTGCCTTCCTCTTCCAAAACGGCCTCCTGTCAGGTGTACTCGGCGTCGCTGGCGTGGCTGGTGTGGCTGGCGTGGCCGGCGTATTCGGCGACAGCAAATAGTCCACAGAAGTCGCAGATTCATTCCCTGCAGTCGGCGTTGGCAGCCCAGTTGGCAGCCCATCCGTCTTTATCGTGATCTGGGGAGTTGTCGCCAGCCTCCTTACTGCATCTCTTACCCCCGCGACCCGTCCCACCAACGCCTCGACCGCTGCCCACCCCCTATCCTCCGCAACCTGATGACCACTAGCCACCGCAGCCACGTCCAGGCGGTCTGAATCTTTCCTCCCTTCCTCCCCAGGCATCTGCGTAGTCTGCTTATGCGCCTGCTCTGCAGCCGTTTCAAGCGCCTTCTTCCAGCCCTCCCAATCCTGCTGCGTCAGCGCTCGAAGATGCCACACTTCTGCCCCAGAATCAATACAAATCTCCCTATCCTTCTCATTTACGCTGATAGCGGCCAAGCTCAGAGGAATGGCGCCTCGTAAAGCCGAGGACTCCCTGTTCATGTAGTAACTCAACGTGGATGTGGTAAAGTCCAAAGAAAAGTAACGCCGTGCGAACCCTTGATGCCGTTTCCTCTTGCGCTTCTTGAGTGTGCCCGTGTAGAAGCCTTTGGCCATCTCTGACTTGATTGAAGATGCGGAACCTTCGGCATGGTTGAAAGAGTCGACAGAGGCCCGGGAGGCGCCGGCTTTGGGGCTGGTGGACTTTTGTTGGGCGGTGGTGGAGATGACACTAGGGCTGTTGCTGGCAGCGATGGAATCTTGGTGGTGTTGGTGATGGCTTGCGGGAGGTGGGTTGTTGCTTGGGTAGGTTAATAATATGACTGTGACTATTTTGGAGAGCTGTTTAGAGAATGTATTATCGAAAACCTGTAGACACAGTATTTTGTTAGTATCAGTTCATGGAAAACAAAACAGGCTCGGAGACCAACCAAAGCAAACATCCCCCCTTGCCCCGTCACATGATAGGTGCCAGTTGTGACTTTCTCCGCCTCGCACTTCCCATGCCAATAGACGTCTAGCAACCCAACAGCATGCAGCTTCTCAATGCAATCCCCTTCATATTTACTCTCCACCGTCGTCGTTTTTGGGCCTCGAGAGCTGCTAGGCCTCTGTATATTATCGCTTTTGTTAGGCTGCAAGCTAGTGTCGTTGCCTGGGTGCTTGAAGATTCCAAAGTTCCTTTTGCGTGTCAGCTAGCGAAAATCGAATTATAGATGATCCACTCGCCCGCGAAAGCCGGAACTCGGGGAGGGGGTGCACAATGTGCTGTTAAGAGAAAGAGAGATAGGAGACAAGAGGGAAAATACGAACAGTGATTTCTTGTGCGGCTTGATACTCCATGAGATTGTGTAATTTGGTGCGCAATTCACCCATCTGATAAGATAGGACTGTGTTTGCGCAGGTCAGCTATTCAACCATCTTCAGAATTGGGTGGAGGTGGTGCGGACGCACTTTGCTATGAATCTCTAACTGCTCCATGGCCGCCATAGTTGCAGTTGCTGTGGACGCTGCTGCTGATCTCTTTTTTCTGTCGAGCCTAACTACCTTCCTTTTTAATGATTATTCACTCAATTCCCGTCTCGGACTCGGACAAGTTCCAATTAGCCCCTGAAAATCCCGTCTCTGTGTGTATGCCCTTTGGGCCCCTCCAATCCGCAGTATTCGCCCGTGCTGTCTTATACTGTACGAAACAAAAGTCGACTCAGGGTGGGGTGATTGACAGACAAGCCCGATTGACAGTACAGTCGTTAGGGAGTAACAGTCGTAAAGTTGAGGGCTATGTGCAAATGCGATTTTCCCAACAGCAGTCGGATATATAAACTTCCAGGTTTGGGAGGATGGCTGGGAAGGACGAATGGTTGGTTCCAAGGCCACTCGCTTGGGGCAGGCTGAGCACTCGGTTCGTAGGATTTGATTCGTCGAGGCTGAGCTCTCGGATGCTTTGAGCTCGCAGCAAGTTACCGGTTACTTGTAGCTCAACCACGCAGCAATTGTAATTTGTTTACCCCACGCCACAACCGCAGGGTTTCGGTCAAGGGTGCAACTTGACAGTATGGATGTAGATGTTCTGCTACAGTGATGTACTGTGCTTGTACACCGGGTACGTACTCCCAAACACAGTGAACGATATTCATATAAAGAAAAGGAGAAAAAGGCAAGGCTCAGCACAAATGCCCTCCGTGCAGATGATGCAATTCTAGATGTTGCTGAGAAGATGGAACAGCATGAGTAAATAAACGAAGGGAATTGGGCCCGAGGGGGGGGGGGGAAATAGTTCCGCAGAGCCACAAGCAGCCAGGTGAGCTGACCGACCGAGCGAGGCCAGGTCGATCAAAGCCGAGTGCAGCCCTTGCTGGCTGTGTCGTCGTCTAGCTGCTTGTGGGTGAGTGGGTGGGCTTGCGGCTGTGGAGGAGGGGGAGGGGGAGAGGAGGGGAGGGGGAGGGGGAGGGGGGGGGTGGATGAGATGCCGGCCAGGCAGCACAGGCACGAAAGCGGCAGCAGCAAGCCTCACCCCCTCGCTCATGCAGCCCGCCCCGCCCCCGGCCCGGATGACGCCGAAGCGCGCAGGGGGGCAGTTGGAGGGAGCGATTCGCATGGACGGGGCGGGGCCTCGGCGTGCTCGAGTACCGCTGGTACTAGTATCATAGGGCCCGGCATTCGGCGGAGCGGCGGAGCATCGGAGCAGCAGTGCAGCCGGCCAGACAATAGTCCGCACCCGCTGACGCCTCCGTGTACTGAGAGCCCGAACCCGAAGCTTGTCTCCGTCGCTCCCCTGCGCCTATGTCTACATCGTGTCACTGCCTGCAAAAATACAGCTGCCTGACCGCCTTCTTTACCATCCCTTCCCATCCCTTCCCATCCCTTCTTCGAGCAAACAGTAATCTTGGCTGCATATCCGCTGTATTTGATGCAGTAACGCCGCCGCCGTGCTCGTACTCGTACTCGTACTCGTACATTTTGACGTGCGTCACTCACCCCGCCAGACACAACGCATCACCTGTCACGCCTACATGCTGTATCAATCGAGTCATACTTGACGTACGATTTGCAATGTTCCGGCTTGTACCCTGTCTGTTTACTAAGCATCGCATGTAAATCTGTAAAATTTGTTCTACGGCTAAAGCCTGGCGCCTCTGGGTTCTTGACTCATATTCACAGCGTAGCCAACTCAATGCTCCCACCCCCACCCTCCTTGCAAATTACAAGGTTCACAAAACACATTGGAGCAAAACCAAAAAGAAACAAATCTGCAAAAAGATTCGATCACACCAGGAGTCGAACCTGGAATCTCCTGATTACTGATTACAAGTAATAATCGTAGTCAGGCGCCTTGACCATTGGGCCATGCGACCATTTTTTAAATTAATGAAATTTGGCTTTGTATGTACATCTCAAACCGTCTCTGCAAAGTACACCGTGTTTATTCCCAATGAAGTAGTATGTACCCTTTCGGGCGGGGCAGAAGATCCCGGCCAGGACATAAAGTTGTACTGAGTGAGGGTAACAGAAGGGTCCAAAGCTGGCCACTCGAAAACGGACGCTGGATATCATCATGCCTAATCTAACGCACAAAATCTCATCCCTCATGATTTGCAAATACTACCTATACTTATCAAAGTAAAAATCTGAATTTTAATGTTACCAAATGAAGTTGAAACTCAGAAATAAATCCCCGCAAAAGAAGACCCGAAAAGCAGGAGCAATCTCAATCAATTAGCAAAACCCCGGTTTAAAGAGTCCTCATAAACATGCATGGCCTTTTTCTTCCCTTATATTATCGCTGGCATGTTCAGAGTTGGTGTAGAGTTCTATATGTTTTGCCATCTTGCTCAATTACAATCTTGAAGCCATACATCTTTCCCGACTTACCTCAGTATCATCTCTATTATTTCCATCTAAACAAAAAGAACCTAGAATCCACCATCACAAAAAATTCTTCCAGAATTACATTGGATATCCTATGGCTCCCAACCTACCTGGAATCAAGACTACCAGCTCATATACCTATCCATTCCGTTCACCACCGTAGTCCACTGCGATACACCCAATGACACTATCCGTTGAATCATCCGCACATCAGAGTTTCTATCTGCGTGACTTTAACTCCAAAGGCGAACCAGCAACGCTCTCGCCGAGTACGGTCAAGTTATCCACCGCACCCAGGTCGATCTTCATCCTATTTTGATACACAATATGGGACAACAATACACCATATACGCCGCCCGTACTACCAGAAGCTGACAGCGTTCATCCGAACGCTCCATCCCTGACTGACTCACCACAACGGGAATCACAGTCCTAAACCTTCACCCCCCCCCCTTCCCTAACCCACCTCCAATCTGCTCTCGACGTCTTATCCACTGCATCTCACTCGATCTCTCGCTCTTTGCGAGACAGTCAGCGTCGGAGAAGTTTACTTTGGCAGCATAGGCTGCGAAGAGGATTGATCGGTTACAGACTGCGCAATTTTGCCGATCTTGAGGAAGATTGAGGAGCGAGACATATGGGATGAGCTGGAGGGTGGATATGAGAAGAAATAGGAGAAGGTAAGTGTGTATTATAAGAGGGGACGGGGAAAGGAAACAGGTGAAAAGGGTGTATGCGAGGGAGGAGACTCAGGCAGGTGAGCGTACGCAGCTGGGAGGGGGAGGGAAAGGGAGAGGGAGACGAAGAGGGAAGGGAGCGAAAGAAAGAGGAGGGGAAGCAGAGACTGGAGGAGGTGGAAGCGAAGGCGGAGAAGGTGTACACAGAGGAGAAGAAAGAAAAGGTTGGTGGTGAGGTGGTGTCTGCGGTTCAGGGTAAGTGGGAGCTTGTAGTTTGAAGGGTAAAGCAAGAAATGCGAAAAAAGTAGATATTGCTATTGAGACTAATATTGCTACTACTACGGACAGCTCGTGAGTTGCCAGGCATTATTTGATTTTGGTGATGATGTGATGACAATATACACCTCTTAGTTTCGCAATTTTTTTAATACAAGTCTCGATAATGGAGTCCATTCGATCAGCTGAGGCTTCAGCGAACGGATGAAGATAACATAGTAAGAATTTGAAAATCGTGCTTGGAGTACAAACGATGCAGAAAATACGCCCAAAAGAATTGATGATATATAAAATATTCATGCTTTCATTCAATTCCATCGAATGCCTCCCTACTCACTCCCCTTTGTTTGATAAAATGAGGCCCCAAAAATCTACACATCTACAACTTCTCAAATCTCGGCTTCCTCCTCTGTAGCGTCGCTCCCACAGCCTCGCGCACGTCACCCGCCAAAATCGCCGGCGCATTCCACACCTGCGTGTACCGCAGTCCGTCCGTCATGGGCCTTCCAAGTCCCCACTCAATAAGCTCCTTTGTTGACTCAACCGCCACTGGGCTCTTCTCCGTAATCGCTTTCGCAATCTCCAGCGCCTTCTCGACCCCTTCCTGCTTTGTCTCTACAACGTGCGACACGAATCCCTGGGCAAGGGCCTCGCGGCCGGAGAAGATGCGCGCGGTGTAAGCGATCTCCTTGACCCAGGAGAGCGAGCGGACGAGTTTAGGGAGGCGGGTGAGCGTGCCGAGGTCGGCTGCGAGGCCGATGTCAACTTCTTTGAGGGAGAGCGCCACGGAGGAGGTGCAGAGGCGGATGTCAGTGCAGCAGGTGAGGTCTAGGGCGAGGCCGTAGGAGATGCCGTGCAGGAGGGAGATTGTTGCTGCATGAGAGTTCTTCTCAGTTAGCTAGACTTTCATATGAATGGAACCAAAAGGTTATCACGGAAGAATTAGGGAATTTGAAAAGATGGGTGGGAGGGGGAATAGAGGAACGACATACGCTTCCCACACCCCTCCACCGCCCCCAGCGCCTCCTGCCATTGCTTTATCTTCTCCCTAATCCCCCTCGTCTTCCTATACGAATCCACTCCCTCCGCTCCACCGCCCAACGTCCCAAAACTGTCCTTCAAGTCCAAACCGGCCGTGAACGCTTTCTCGCCTGCGCCCGTGAGAACCACAGCACGCACGTCCCCGTCCAGACGGATGCGGGAAAAGATGTCGAGCAGCTCACGGAACATTGCATCGTTGAAGGCGTTGAGCTTGCTTGGCCGGTTGATTTCGACATGCAGGACGTGGGGAGCGGGACAATGGATGAGAAAGTTCACGTAAGTGGGGTACGTGGTAGTGTTGCTTGAAGACATTTCGAATGGATTTGAAGGGCTTTGGTGAGCTTTTTGGGGGGGCGGAATTATCAATGCTTGGTATTTGCAGAACAACTCTTCGGTCTCAAAGTGAGAGAGAGCCTGATTGGCAAAGATAAGGGTATAGTGAATACAATTTTGAAGCTGTGCCGCAGCTGTTATGTGGGTATCGCCAAGTACTTGATAGTTCTTCCTCTTACACCGAGGTAGTTAGATGTGTATAGAATTATGAAGTTGCGTAGTTGTAGTAATATACAGCGGCGCCAAACTTTCTGTAAACTACAAAGCTGGTTCCTGCAGAGCGGCCCCCAGTCCGCGATAGCCGAGGATCCGATGTGCACGTGAGACGCCAAGACAGGAAAACTTACATCCCCAATCTGCACGATATAGTATTGTGCATCAACTTAATCCGTCCCTAAAGCGCACGTCGCATTATTAACATCCATGAGGCAAGCAAGACGTAGCATATTACCAAAGAAGTTTATTTCTTCGTGTTGCATTGACTGTCACACCGTTGTAGACGTCAATCTAAACCTCACCAAATTCTCCGATTGGACCAATTGACCCTGTACCATTGCCATCATGTCCCTGTCGTTTGGACCCAAAGAACATGGTAAAACAATTAAGGAAATATAAAAGTAGAATGACAAAAACCGCAACCCAGACAAAGAATTATGGAAACCCCAATGTTCCGTCTCTACACCTTCAAAAACCCACCACCTTATATAGCAATACAAAGTCTACAAGATTAACAAAAAAAAAACCAGACCCAAAATTATAACGCCCAATTTACTCATCCAAACCACCACAGATGCTAAAAAAAAAGGTCAGTAAATTGCGGTATTGAATAAAAGTGCAAGGTTACTCACGTCTCAATCATAATACCAGTGATCTGGTATGGGCAAGCATTGGAGGCAGGACGGCGGTCCTCAAAGTATCCATGGCCTTCCTTAGCGCAAGCTCGTGGAATACGGATAGAAGAGCCACGGTCCGCAACACCATAAGAGAACTGATCAATAGAACCAGTCTCATGGCGTCCAGTAAGGCGGAGAGTGTTGTCATCACCATAGACAGCAATGTGTTCCTTATGGCGCTTGGAGAGTTTCTCGATAGCAGCCTCAATGTGCTTCATACCACCCTCCTTGCGCATAGCCTCAGTGGAAACGTTTGTGTGGAGACCGGAACCGTTCCAATCACCTCTGTAGCAAGTTATTAGCATCACCTACATTGAGAATAACCAAATGAAGTGAACATACTGAATTGGCTTGGGGTGGAAGGAGATCTTCACGCCAAAGTCCTCAGCAACACGGTGGAGGAGGTACCGGGCAACCCAGAGCTGGTCACCCATCTCAATACCCTCACAAGGTCCAACCTGGAACTCCCACTGAGAAGGAAGCACCTCAGCGTTGATACCAGAGATCTTAATTCTAGCATACAAGCAAGCCCTGTAATGAGCCTCAACGATGTCACGGCAGTAAACCTTTCCAGTACCAACACCGCAGTAGTATGGGCCTTGAGGGCCTGGGAAACCTCCCTTTGGCCATCCGTATGGGTGTCCGTACTCATCGAAAAGAGTGTACTCCTGTTCAAGACCGAACCATGGCTTCTGGTCTTTGTGAGCCTCCATGAGCTTAGCACAGGCGTGTCGGTAGTTGAACTTGTTTGGTGCACCATCGGCGTTCCAACACTCGTTGAGGACTAGAATGTTATCACCGCGGCGGAACGGGTCTGGGTAGATGGCAACAGGTCGGAGGTAGACATCGGAGTCCTCGCCTGGAGCCTGTCCAGTCGATGAGCCGTCGAAGTTCCATTCTGGAAGGTCCTCAACTGAGGTCGGCTTTTTGGTGAGAGTCTTAAGAACACAGAGTCAGCAGGCATTTCTGAAAATGTCGGATCATAAATTGTTGGAGACATACCCGAGTCTTTGATCGTACACCGTTGACGGAGTCAATCCAGATGTACTCAGCCTGGATGCTTCCCCTCTGGTCAAGGTCAAGGTACTTGGCCAACTGTAGCAGGATCAACTCGTTAGTAATTGAACTTTTATTCCAGAATAGCATTTTGCTGCCGTAGCCTTGAGGGGGTTGTTTGGTGTGACTCACAGTAGCCGAGTTGGAGAGAGAAACAGATTCAGGCTACAAGAATGTTAGTAAATAGAGCAATTCAGGAAGAAAGACGCG